TGGCAGTGCTATGGGAAGGAAGGAATTTAGTTTGAAAGTTATCTGATCATTCTTAGCTGCAAATTTCATTAGATATAAGTATGACTCTATACATAATCTTTTTATATGGAAGAAGTATATTATTTTTAAGAAACAAAAATGAAACACTAAGAATAGAAACCAAATAGCTGATTATCTATTATCCCTTGCCTTACTAAAGTGAAGGGAGAAAGAAGTTTCCTTCAAAATGTAACCTTCCTTGGTTCTTTTGAAATATGGTTTTATAAATGTTTAATTTATAAATAAAACAAAACAAACAGAAAACTATTAAAGTCTTGTCTGTAGGTAAAGTATATTTCTTACTTATCTATTACTGCATAACAAATTATCTCAAAATTTAGCAGCTTAGAACAATAAACATTATTTCACAGTTTCTGTGGGTCAAGGATTTGGAATATATTGCTGAATCTCTCATGAATTTGCATTCACACTATTGGCCAGGGCTGCTGTCTCAGAGGCTTGACTGAGTTTGATGGATCCACTTCCAAGCTCGTCCTTGTGACTGTTGAGAGATGTTAGTCCTTCACTACCTAGGCCTCTCCATATGGACATTCACAACATGGTTTCCTCCAGAGTGAATAACCCAAGAGGAGAGACAGATGAGAGAACAACCAAAATAGAAGCTGGTACTTTGAAAATCTAATTTTGGAAATGATGTATCATCACCTTTTCCATATCTACTAGTCACAAAAGTCAATGTGGGAGATGGCTATCCAAGGATGTGAATAACAAGAGGTGAGAATCTTTGGGGCCAACTTAATGGCTGATTGTTACACTATTCCAATTGTTCTACATATGTGTTTGAGCTGCAGATACATAGTTCTCTGTGTAAAATACTATGATAACAAAATGAAGAATTGAGATGTAATGAACCAGTCAGCAGCCATGGAAGGTAGTGTACTTAGTGAGAAACTTCATCACTACATGCATGCTGTGTCAATAGTCACAAAGAGTGTGATGGGATTAATGCAAATCCCTTTTCCACTATTAGAAGTCCCAGCATGTATCTTCTAATGGTAAATGCATGTTGCTGTTTGTATATGAAATTAACTTATACTTAAGCACATATTTTTAATATATTTGGGAGGCAGAATAATGTAAATGTAGGAGGATATACTAAGTTTTTAATCAGTAAGAATCAGTCCTAGTTTCATGTGTTACTAACTAGTAGTATATTAGGCAAGTTATTTAACCTCTCTGAGCTTATTATATCAACTAAAAAATGACAGTGCTGTATTAAGTGATTTCTAAAAATCTGCTACTTCTAAAAATGGTTTTTTGATATTTTAAATATTTAAAATCCCCAATAAGACTCATTTAGAGGATAATTATCTTTATAATAACATTTTTGTCTTTTATTTTTTATTATTCTGTTATGTTAATCACCATACATTACATCATTAGTTTTTGATGTAGTGTTCCATGATTCATTGTTTGTGTATAACACCCAGTGCTCCACGCAGAACGAGCCCTCTATACTACCCATCACCAGGCTAACCCATCCTCCCACCCACCTCCCCTCTAGAACCATCAGTTTGTTTTCAGAGTCCATCATCTCTCATGGTTCATCTCTATAATAACATTTCTACAGTATGATAAGTGCATCAAAAATTGGCCTGCAGTCTAACTGAATCAGGCTAAAATAAGACATTCTTTAAATTTTTTTATTAGTTTCAGAGGTAGAATTTAGTGATTTATCAGTTGCATATATAAAATAAAACATTTTTTTAAAGATTTTATATATTTATTTTACAGGGAGAGACACAGCGAGAGAGGGAACACAAGCAGAGGAGTGGGAGAGGGAGAAGCAGGCTCCCCACTGAGCAGGGAGCCCGATGTGGGGCTTGATCCCAGGATCTTGGGATCATGACCTGAGCCGAAGGCAGACGCTTAACTACTGAGCCACCCAGGTGCCCTAAAATAAAACATTTTTAATAGAACAAGGTTATGGCAGCATTCACTCATAAGTGCCATGTGTTGGGCCCTGGGATAGACAAGGCTGGTGTTAGAGGATAGTAGATAAACACTGCAGATTTCTCCTATAGGGGCAAGATGGGAGTGTCTCCAAATTATAGTTTTCATAGGTTATATATGTAACGTGATTGTGTCTATACCCACAGGTCTATGCATATACATTTTTAAGACCTTTATTGAGTCATGCCATAAAAGTCACCCATATTATTAAGTGTACAATATAATTTTTTAAGTAAAGTACAGAGTTGTGCAATCATCACCAGAATCCCCCAAAATATCCCTTATATTCATTTGTAGTTAATTTTTCTTCCAACTCTCATCCCCAGGCAACAACTAAATCTACTTTTTTCTCTATAAATTTGCCTTTTCTGAAAATTTCATACGAATGGAATCATACAATATGTAGTCTTTTGCATCTGGTCCTTTCATATAACAAGAGTTTAAGGTACATCCATGTTGTAGTTCATTCTTTTAATTTTTAATAATATTCCTTTGTATGAACATACCACATTTTCTTTTATGTCTTCACCAGTTGACAAACATTTGGGTTGCTTCCAATTTGGTGCTCTTAGGAATAATGCTGCTATGAACATTTTGTCAAATCTTTGTGGACATGTTTCAGGGCTCTTGGGTATATACCTAGTAGTGGAATCACTGAGTCAAATGGGTTAAACTCTGTAACTAATTTTTAAAAACACTGCCAAACTGTTTTCCAGAGTGGCCACATCATTTTACATTCCCATTAGCAATATACGCAGGTTCACATTTCTCTACAGCCTTGCCAACTCCTGTTATTATTTGTCTTTTTGATTATATCAACAGGCATTGATGGACAGTAAGGAAAGTTTAAACTGGGGAGTCTCTTCCTGTCAAGGGGACCCCAGTCCAGAAGACCCTATATCTAACTAACAATGAAGTTTTGGATCAGTGGCCACTGAAACAATTGTTTTCTGTATGAAATTCTTTCTGACTGCACTAAGAAGCAATCTCTACTTAGTTGCATATATGGCTATGTTGTTCTTTTCACAAAGGAAAGTTCTAAAAAATGCACCTTCCCACACCAAATAGTTAATTTTATTGCACAAACTCACTTCGTAGGTAACAATTAGACCTCAGAAATAAAGATAATGTATTCTAGAAAGTGGTCAAAATTTTTTATATTAATTTAACATTTTACTAGTGAAAAAGTAGGGGCAGGCAAGGAAAATTCTGTGCATTTTATTTAGGAAAAAAAATCTGTATTATTTTCCTCTATAGTTTAAAGGATTTCTAAGGCTTTGTACAAATGTAAATATAAAAATAAAATGTAATGAGTACTATAATTTTTAGAAGTTAAATTTTTTACCATAGTAATTTTACTCAGTAAAAATGTGCTGAATCTGCCCTAAGAATAAATATCTTTTTAGGGAACTAAAACAATACAAAATAATGACTTAGTGTTGTAATAAAATTTTGTCAATTTTATTAAAACCAGATTCCATTTCTTAACATAGTTAATTAAGTTTCCTTTAAAAAAAAGTCTACTTTATGGTATTATTTCATCAGAGTAAGTTGGCTCAGTGAGACCGTCACTGACAAAGACATGTACAAAGTTAGCACCACATGTCTATAAATGCCCTTAGCCAAAACCTTTCTGATATACAATTTCCCTTTACTCATACACACATATATTTACAGTTAATAAATAACATTTAAAGCCAAAGCATTATTTATATATATATAGTGAAGTCTGTAGAAGCCAGAGTTCCTAGGGCCATACACTGATTGGATCCATATTTTCTGAAGTTTATGCACCCTTGTTCAAAACCCAAATCCAGAAAATTAATGAATTAGCAATGAAGGGGGATGACAACAACAAATCTCACAATATTTTATTTTTAGAAAAAATTCATTCCAAGTTGGCTGATATCAATCACAGCATTCATCTTACTTTGTGTAGGTATAACCATATTTCTCAAATGAAGGGCTTAAGTTCTGGTACCTCTGGAATAATTTCTACTTCAATACATCCTAATACTATATCTCTTGTTTACTTTCCAAGCTATGCTGAATAATAAATGTACATGTGGGGCTCCGCATGTGAGTCATATGTTCAGATACCCACACATGTTCATAGTTTGGATTCCCAGCAATAGTCTTTGAGACATTTTACTTCTTTATCAATTTATATTAATATATAGAAGATCATTCTGAAAATATGATATCTAGTTTATAAATAACAGTTCACTCACTCTGGACTAGTTGTTAAAAATAACACCTCTCATGGCATTTCATGTGGCTATGGCAATTGAGGATTCTTTTAATTGCTCACAGTGGTTTTAAGCACTGTTTATGGATATATAATTTTTCACCTCCTAACTTAGTAACAATGACCCTCGTCTAAAATTTATAGAAGTTTGCATGATGTAAAATTTTACCTTGAGTACATATTTTCTTACTAAAACCAGGAAAGAGACATGCTCAAAGTATGATTGAAGCATGACTGAGATAAACCTAAAATTGAACAGTGCCTATCAGATATTAAATGACCTCAAATTGATGAATATAACTTCAGAAATCTGATTAATGAAATTGTGGTATCATTTTCTTTCCCCATAGTTAAAATTATGTGTCAGTTGACAATAACAGGCTCATGTAAAACACCAACCTAGAAAGCACTGTTAAAATATAATCTTGAGACAAACGGCAGGTAGAGATTAAGTGATAAACTATAAGCCTATTAAGACTGAATTGGTCTAAATTTTATATCTCTTTTAATTTGTAACTTAGCAATGATGCAACCAGCCGCAGGGAGGGTTTAAAGTTTCAGTGATTTATCAATTTCATTTTCTATTCCTCTCTCCAAGTCTCTAGTCCCTGGTTAACTCCTGGGCAACACAGAACCTGATGGCAAGAGAAAAACCATTCCAAAAAAGTCAGGTGTTTTGACTAGTAAGAAAATGGGTCCAACTCATGCCACCAAAAAAAAAAAAAAATCATTTTCTATATCAGACTTGGAGAAAACATTGAGCAGGTATCAGTCCAGAAAATGCAGGCTTCTGATCAAAAAATGAGATTCTACTTAATTTTAGGCTATGGTTAAACTCACTAGATAAAGAAGGTGTATTATGTTACCATGAGCCAAAATGGTTCTTATTTCTTTCTCAAAGGACAAAACAGTGATTTTCAAATCTGCACTCCTTTAATGATGTGCTATTTGGCCACTATATTCCTCAAATTGAATTAGCCACTTTTTTGGGTATTTAAGACTGTATCCTAAAATAACTAATTAATTATTAATTAGGGATTAATACTCAGGAAAATTCTCTTTGAAACACCCAAGCACTGGGCATCTTTTGTAAAAGTTATTTCATTCTTCATAAAATTCATGTGCTGTTCTTCCTTCTGTAGATTTGCCCAGGTTCTGAGAAAAAGCAGAGGAAGGGCAATTTATTATTTGCTTAGTGTTTTACAATCCACCCCCTCCCACCTTCATGATGAAAAAGTTATCCAACTGGAAGTTCAGAACAAAGGTTATGAGTATATACCCAGGGGACATGAGGATAATGGATCAGATGTAGATAACGGCAGGCTTGTGGGAATGAAAGACACTCTAAGATCTACTAAGCCATGTCCCAATAAGGACTATCATTTTCAGAGGACTGAATCAAATGATTTCAAAGACGATATGATTTAAGAAGATTTCTTTTTTTTTCTTAATTTTATTTATTTATTTGACAGAGAGAGAGAGTGCTCACAAGCAGAGGGAGTGGCAGGGCCGAGGGAGAGGGAGAAGCAGACTCCCCGCTGAGCAGGGAGCCCGACGCGGGGCTCGATCCCAGGACCCTGGGATCATGACCTGAGCCGAAGGCAGACACTTAACCAACTGAGCCACTCAGGTGCCCCTGATTTAAGATTTCTTAATTCTAAAACTTGTCAAATGAAATGCCTGATTCTTTCTTTTCTTGTGATATGAGTCTTCTAAAGAGTTATATCAGAAGATAAGAGACAGAGAACTTTTGATTAATTTAGCGACAGAAGAGAGAAACTGCAGAAGTAGTTATTAGTCTGAATCATAATTCCTAGATAAAGTTCAGATGTATAAAGAAAAACCACCTAAATATCTGTGGCCTCAGTAATCCTGTAATCAGACAAAGAATGTATCAATAGACTTTCTTAGATAAATGATTGTGACTTATGTAAATAATATGACCAGAAATACTTTTAAAACAGCTGGAGATATTTCCTGATTTTTCAGATTTTGTTTTTACATTCACATATAGTCAAAGTTATGGATGATTTGGGGAGAATGTGTATGTACAAGTGTTTGTGTGTGTTTGTATGTGACATAAATGAATGTATAAAACTTCACAGAGGAGTCGCTTCTAAAAGTTAAAGCAAATGTGAAATTGTCTCAGATTTGTGATGAGGGAAAACAAAGCAATTAACCTCTGAGTAGAATAGTCCACTTAGATAAAAATTCAGTTATTCTGCCTGGCTCAGTACCATCAACTATTTTCCATTTTAAGTTTATCTTGAGTACTCTTACATTAATGTTTTTAATCAAGTGGCTTCATCTTCATCTGTTCAAAGTGTATGTCATAATTCCATTTTTGTAAAAAATGAAAAATATAAAAATTATATATGCATTGACAAGGTCTGAAAGAATATAAATTTAAATGTTAATTGGGAGTTATTCCGGGGGGATAGAGTCACAGTGATTTTGTTTTTGCCTATTTTTCCTGATTTATCCATAATCCATAATTATCCATGGATAAATTACAACATAAAATAGAAATTTAAAATAATAATAGAAATTCCACATAGGGTCTTTAATATACTTCTCTGATTAGGCAATTCTTATTCTGTACTTTTGTTTATCAATGTAACTGAGAGAAGACAAACCAGAAGCAATTGTTTTTTCTATTTCTGGATGATGTTGTGACCAGCCTTTCCCATTGTTTCTTGTTTCCCTCACTTGTATGATGTGATCTAAGTTTTTCCCCCCTTATATTTGTAACCCATTAGTACTTGGTATCTGGCAGGGGAATGAGTAGACAAATGAAAGTGAGATAATGTGAGAATCCAGGAGGGCATGCAGAAGGTCACATGCTTAATCTCCACTTAGTATTGACACTCTGGAAAGATTTAGCTGACAGCTGCCATATGGATTAGTCTTAAAGGTCAGTAGGAAAGAGCCAGGGGATTGTTTTCAGATGGAAAAGAAAACCATCTCCTAAATTCTAACTCCATTAGCTCCCCATCGTTGGGGATTTTGAGATGGATGCTTGGTGGCTGCCCCTTTTTGGCTCTCTGTCCTGGAGTCTGCTGCCACTTGGAGCACCAAGAAGTCCTATGTGCTGCAGCTGATGTTTTGCTCCCCTGGAGGGGCTAGACCCACAGTCACAATGATGACTATTGTGTTGTATGCTCTGCACACAGGCTCTGTAAAGGTAGTAGGGATGCAGTACAGAAAAAAGCAGCAGTAAAGTTTTTGTGGTAGTGCAAAAGGAAAATAAAAGAACAGAAAGAGAAAAAAAAAGGAGGAAGTACTGACAAAAACAAATGCGCCAGGCCAATGTGTACATGGAAGGGCTAAGAAAGACCACCTGAAGATTCTAGCCACAAGAACCAGTGCAAGTCTTTAGTTATGGGACGAAGAGCAACGTAAGAAGCAGTGTCCCTGAGTGCAAGCTCAGGATACCCGAGGATCTTTAGCCCATGATGCTCACCAGCCAGACTTTTTATTCAGAGACTTGTCATGGCATTTCACAAATACCACAGATGCCTTTCCTTTCTGCAGATGAGACACTTTCTCCCTGGAACAGAAGATTACCCTGTAGAAGAAAATGAATGTGAACGTGTCATATGGGAAAAGAGAAATACCGAAAATATATGGTTTGGTCAGGGCTGGTTAAATCCTACCTGATCAATATGATTAATTATTTTGATATTTCCAATAACTGTTTAAAGTCAGGCCATTCTGGTCAGCAACACATCTGAACCAGAGTTATTGGAGGGCCTAACCCACTGTTCAACAGTAGAGTTAATCAGTCTAAACAGGACATAGACAGGTTGGAGAAGCCTCAAAATCACAAAGCTTTTACCACAACGAGGTGATACAAGATCAACTTTACCACTTCCTTGTATCTGCGTTAGGGAATTCACAAACCATTCTTCAACTGTCCTGTTAGAGAAACAAATGCTCTGCATAGCCTCTCCACCCACAACCTGTTTTTTGTTTGTTTTTTGTTGTTGTTGTTTGTTTGTTTGTTTTGTTTGTTATAAAAGAAAAATGACCAGAGAGAAAAAATTTATCAGTCCTAACTTAAAGAGTCATTTTTATTAACAATAATGGCACACTATAGTTTGCAAAATCCCTATACATTTAGTAAAAAAGTTTTAAATCCTATGGGGCTCTCTATGCAATTAATTTATAGATATACATGAGGTGGGGGTGGGGAGACAGGATGAGATTACCTTGGAATCTCATTCTTCTTGAAGAGGTTGATTTTAATCTTTGAATGTCAAAGTAACATCTCTGAGATTCTTTCCATAACTGTTTTGTGCTTGTGAGAAACAGTGCTAAATGAGAAGCTGAGATCTTCAACTTAAAATCTCAGCTCTCACTCAATAATTGTGATCAGTTCAGGGCTTATATTTTCTTTCCATGAAATTCAGAAATACTATTACTTCTCTGGTACGATAATAAAAGAGTACTCCTCCCCAAAATTATAGGTGTAATTATCTAGTTGATATAGTTTTAAAGAAAAAGCTTACTAAAGTTCCACCTGAATGTTGAAGGCTCCATTATCCCTAGGTAAGGACATAGTGAGTCTAACGTGAATGGAGAAAAATACATTTAATTACTTTTTTTGGGTCTCTCCTGCTTTTACTCTGATCTTCTCAATAGCAAAGCCAGGGCTGCTCCACCAGTCTGACCAGCTGAAGTATGAATCACTCTTCCATTTGAGTTTCAACATTAGCAGTTCCCCAATATCCACCTCCGTGTAAATTAGAAAGGAGTAGGTTTTATTTGCAGAAACTTCAGGCCTAAAGAAAAAAATCAGCGTATTTGGTTAGTTGTGGAAACAAGTTTTTTGTTTTTTGGTCTTTTGTTTTTTTCATTCTTCTTCCTCCCAAGACATAAATAGCTTTGTTGTTTGGGAATATTTTAAAAATGCAAAAAATGTCCAGCAAAATACTCAAGATGAAGATCAATGGCATTTAGGGTATTTTAAAAGATATCTACACCCTTTTAATCCATTCTAACTTTACACAAACAGTATGAACTATTTAATACAATTCTTAAGAAAAAAATCCATAAATCAATCATTCAGAGACATTTATATTCATCTTCATATACCCCCTTTCAATCTATATTGCTATGTGAACATGTTTACTTTGTTAAAGTCATAGGATACATAAAATTCTCTATTCTTTCTTTGTTTACTTCATATTTTACTTTCCACTTTTTGCCATGTTTTACCTGGTTTTCTATAATTATAGTTTTTAGAAACTAGATTGATTTTATTGACTTTAAACCACAATTCATTTAACCATTGCCTCAATGTTGGGTACTTATTTTGTTTCTAATCCATGCTATTATATGTACTAATGTAATGAGTATCTTTTGCCATAAAGCTTTTTTTAAAAAAATATGTTGACCATTTCTTTTCCAAATGTCCTACTCTTCTTCCTCCACATGCTGGAGGAAATGTCATGTGGCTACTCACAGGGTAAAAGGGATGTTCTCACTCTCGGCCACAGTGCCATACAGAGAGATCTCAAAAGCCTGGTTGGTCTGTGTATCACTCTCAGTCCCAGAAAAATGTATCTTTACTTGGTAATGGAAGACTGTAGGGAGAAAATTGGAACAAATGCTGATCAGTTTTTATGGAAACACCACCGCCCCCAAATAAACGCAATTCATAACCACAGAATTCTGAACCATTAAATGTGTTCACACATGACTATCAGTGTGAAGGATTTCCTCATATCTGCACAGTGTTTGTTACTAGAAAATTCAGACCTTGAATTCCACTCCCTTTCAGGAAAGTGTGGTTGTAGTGGATAGGAGGAATCCAGGTGTGTATGAATTGTTAAGCAGTCCTGGAAAGTAGTCATCTTTGATGGGGCACAAGGGAGATCAAATCAAGAAGCCAAAATACCCATGATTCTTTCTCCAAGAACTCTACCCTTTCTTGGCCATCTTGTCCCCGAATATCTGTATGGAACATATTTGGCATTTGTTAATGGGACACTGTATGTGACTGTTTCTTCATGTTTTATGGGTACGTCTGATTCCCTACCTATGTGTAAATTCCCTCAGGTCAGAAGATCACGTTTACCCTCTTTATCCCCCCACCATCTAGCACAGAGCAGGTATTATAGCAGGCTCACAACCAAACTTATTCATTGAATCATCAGTGAGGCCATAAAGACTGCTAGTTCCTAATGTGTTCTGTATTAGGGAGAACCTCTGGAAGCAGATACTTGAACTTCTACATTTCCTCCCTGCTCTCCCCATCTCTACTAAAAACCCTGAGTAGATGGAATGGGGGAGGTTAAAGAGATAGGAAAGGCAGCAGGCTTAACACACAGCTACTAAAGGTGAAGAGAAACAGAGTTTGGGGTTGAATGGAGCCCTTGCAGGCATCATCACAGACAGAGCAGGAGAAGTTGAGACTGCCGAAGTAGCCCCAAGAATAGTGATGGAGCACTGCATAGCACTGAGCAGGACGCCTGGGGATGAGTCTTCAGAAGATTCCAGTCTCCTCTATACCTCACACCCACTTCCTCATTCTGAAGAGTCAGGGAAACTAAGGGTTTCCTCATTGTTTAAAAGGTTTCCTTGAATTATTGTTGCTCCAAACCTTTGGGCCACCAAACACACCACTATAGAGGTTCTAACAAACCACCTTACAAATAGTTGCCTCCATCAGATACATTTTACCTTGGAAAACTATACTTCAATATTTCATCCCTTCCCTCAGACTTCCAACTGGACTCCACATAAGTTAGCTTTTCTGGTCTTAGTTCCTCTTGTCAGATTTCCTTGGTATCTCCTCTCTTGTTTTCCTTCAGTCCTTATAAATTTTGCTCTAAACAAGTTTGAAATTCAACTGCGTACAAATTTATGACAAAATGGAAATATCTTGAGGTTTGGTATATTCTTCCCTCCCAGGAATAGTTGAATTTTAAAATACTGGTAATTTTTGCCTTCACTTAAAGCAAACTTTAGGAGTTGGCAAACTTTTTTCTATGAAGGGCAAGATAGCAAATAAACTTTGCTGGGCCATACAGTCTTTGTCCCAACTACTTAACTCTGCTCCAGTAGCATAAAAGCACTCTTAGTCAATACAAAAATGAATGTGTGTGGCTGTATTCTAATAAAACTTTCTTTACAAAAGCAAGTGGTGGGCTGGATTTGGCGCATGGGCCATAGTTTGCTTGCTGACCCTGGATAGATGAATGGATTCAAATTAGCTCAGAGCCTGGTACTAATGGGCTGGCCCATGCTAGGGATCACAATTACAGAGGAGGATGGCAAACAAGGCTGCTGCATAGGGCAGTGCAGGTTGTGCACTGGGCCTTACTGGCAATGGGAAGTGAGGGTTCGGGGTTTAGTAACATCATTTCTCTACCTCTGTTGGTGATGGACAGACTCAGTACACGTGATGCAATGAGCATGATAAACATCAAATTGATTTTCCTTATTCACAACATTCTCCAGCCTACCTTTGTATGGCATCTGAGAGCGCGTCTTCAGGTACATTTTGCTGCTTCTTTTGGCTCTGACCTTATTGATCTCATAGCCCAAGTTGTTGCAACGGTTCTTTCTGCAACTCAGGCAGAGCCCTTTTTCAAAGGCTTCCTTTGAGTTGCACCGGTAGGCCTTACTTGGATTTTCTTCATTCAGCAGAGAGTCAATAAAGAGATGAATGGAACGCTCATGGGAACACTTTACTAGCTGGTCCACATCTGGGGAAAAAGAGGCACAAAGAAAATTCAACTCCATGAGTGTCCACAATGAGTGTTTCATCGTGTATGTCTAAACTAGTTTAGGTGTGATGTCAGAACAAAATTACCTAAGGATCTAGTCCTGTGACTGACTGGGTGTAAGCCCTATTTAAGGAGGTATTTTTGGTGGCAGTTTTTCATCTCTTTCTGAGTTTCAAAACTGCAAATTTTCAGAGAACTTTTGCCTTTTCTGCTGTCTTATATTTGTATGTTTATGAAGATATAGTAAGAGTCATTCAAGGTAGAAGTTGATTCCCCCCAGTTTATCACATCCTTCCTATATATTGAAAACATAAAACATTTCTATATGTTACTAGAAACAACAAGATAAAAGGCAGAATTGTTAAGTGAATAGTATTTTATCATAGACATTATGTATAATTGGAGGTTGTCTCACTACTAATAATTTTTACATCAAATTAATCACAGAAATAATTAGCAATGTAATGAAAGTGTATCTCTTACCATAAGATTTTATAACTATTGAAAATAGTAACATTAAGCTATAATTTCTATAACATGTGTACAAAAGACCTGAGCATATTGACTACAAGTAGGTTCCATTGCTCACAAAGGATGAAAACATCCCTTAAAACAAATTATAAATTTAACACAAACATGATTACTGAAGTAAACATTAAGATAATATTAAATTATATTTCTTCTTTAAATTTTGGAATATTCATTGTTAGAGAATGGTGATTTACTTTTTCTTTTAAGATTTATTTATTTATTTTAGAGAGAGAAGAAGAGAGAGAATGCATGTGCATGAGTGAGGGGAGGGGCAGAGTGAAAGACTCTTTTAGCAGACTCCCCACTGAGGGTGGAGTACCACTCAGGGCTGGATCTCATGACCCATGAGGTCATGACCTGAGCCAAAACCAAGAGTCAGACGCTTAACAGACTGAGCCCCCCAGCTGCCCCTGATTTGTTTCTAATTTGTACCTCTCTTTAAAAGGCTGACAAGAGAAATTTGGACTAGTTAACAATAACTCTTATGGTTTCACAACCATATTCAAAGTATAACAACATGTGGCCCGATATCACTTTATACTGTTATTATCCAAAGCAGTGGAGTTTTCTTGTGTAGGTCTCACCTTTCTCTTCTTTTATTTATGGAAGCTCAGTACTCAGTGTAGTCTACAATATAATACATAAAAGAAAAAATGTCTGTCTGTCTGACCAAAGGAAGTACTAAGGCTGTAACGGTGATTGTGCTGAATATGATAGCTTCTTCAGAAACATTTCTTGGCTAAATGTGTATATTAAAACTACATACTTGGGGCGCCTAGGTGGCTCAGTCGTTAAGCGTCTGCCTTCGGCTCAGGTCACGATCCCAGGGTCCTGGGATCGAGCCCTGCATCGGGGTCCCTGCTCGGCGGGAAGCCTGCTTCTCCCTCTCCCTCTCCCCCTACTTGTGTTCCCTCTCTCGCTGTCTCTCTCTCTCTGTCAAATAAATAAATAAAATCTTTAAAAATTAAATAAATAAATAAATAAATAAATATAAACTACATACTTGTGGGGAATGGGCAGGAGACTGGATCAATAAGAATTAAGTGTGAAAATTACATTTAATTAACTTCTAAATTATATTTACCTCCAAGGCCTCTCTCTGCAATCACACGGATAGCTTCCCCAATGTTACATCCTGGTTGAAAAGTGCCTCCATTAGGATAAATGTCAACATGTCCTACTGGTTTCTGGATTCCAATACTTCGGCCAGGCGACCCTCTGGTGAATGTGTGTAAGACGTCTACAAAATCTGCATCATCAGGAGAAAGGCGACTTGGAGCTTCTGCATATTCAAAGTTAGGTCCAGCTGGATCTAGGCCTTAATGCAAAAAAAAAATACAGGCCTCACAGATTTTTAAATTCCCATTCATTTTAGCCTCCATTAGTGTCACCTTAGCATTCAATTTTTCATCATTTGAATGTAACTGGCAGCCACATAGGTTTTTATTAGCTCCTTATTCTGTAGTGATTGGATTCTTTTTTTTTTTTTTTTGATTAACATATAATGTATTATTTGTTTCAGAGGTACAGGTCTGTGATTCATCAGTCTTACACAATTCACAGTGCTCACCATAGCACATACCCTCCCCAATGTCTATCACCCAGCCGGCCCGTCCCTCCCACCCCCCTCCACTCCAGCAAACTCCAGCGTTTCCTGAGATTAAGAGTCTCTTATGTTTTGTCTCCCTATCTGGTTTCGTCTTGTTTCATTTTTCCCTCCCTTCCCCTATCATCCTCTGCCTTGTTTCTCAAATTCCACGTATCAGTGAGATCATATGATAATTGTCTTTCTCCAATGGACTTATTTTGCTTAGCATAATACCAACTAGTTCCAGTAGTGATTGAATTCTAAAATTACTGAGAGTATTAAAAGTAGGCCTAGCTCCTCTGAAAGGAATCTGAGTCTCTTGAACTAGCCATTAAATAGCAATTTTCATTCAGGACAAGTAGATCTCCTTTTGTAAATTATTTTTGACCCTGGGGAGAAGGCCTTTAAACAATGGTGGGTTCTTTCTTTTTCTCTAGGCCTGCCAAATCATCCATTGCCTTTGCCCTGGTTGACTGTCTTCCTCTTTACAACTAGCCTCTGGTGTTGGTCCTTTTTCATTTTTCCCAGCACTGATGTGAGAGGTGACATACATGCAATATACCACCAAAGCACAGAGCAGAGAGAGGAGGGAAATGAGCTTCCCAGAGACTCCATTTGGCTCTCTGTGCTTAACTCTGTTCTATTTCTCTTCTGACAGTAGGTGGTAAGCCCAGGAGAGCAAGGGCCCGTATTCTATCCTACTTCAGGGAAAAAAAAAGCCCTCCCATGACATAATCAAATGGCTGGGCGAACACAGAGGAACACCACATACATATGGGTATTTGACAAACATTCTGATTCTCTTTCAGAATGACAGGTATCTCAACACTTCTGTGATAAGACTCCTGGCACTGCTTTCTTACCAGTAATTCTATTGACCTTCTTATTGGTCAGACTTCCTGCAATGCCAGCAGCATGGGCTCCAAGACTGTATCCCAAGAGATGGACATTGTCCAGAGGATAGTGAAATTCCTCCTTTGGAAGAGAAAAAGAAAAAGGGCTTCTTACAGTTTTATACAAAGGATCAAAGCTAAAAGAAAAAAAATGAATATAAGTATTGTTTTTGAAATACAGGCAATGCTAAAAATTAACTCTACTTATTTTAATTTTGGGCTCTAGATCAATCACTCTAGTGTTGAGATTTTTCTCTTTCTTTAAAAACATATTTAATTAGAAAGTTTTCCCATCCATCTGAAACTGAAGTGTATGGAAATCTGAATTTCCATATATCTGAAAACATATGTATGCATGTACATGTACATGTGTCGTTATATATTTAAATGTAGATATATGTATATATGTGTGCATCTATATGTGGATAAACTATATGTAAATACACACACATATATTAAATATATATTTAACCTTAACCCATTATTCCCTATTCTAAATACTCTACATCACTTTATTCTTTAAGGTTAGCCAGAAAAATGCCTTAAAACCAGAAAATATTACAGGGAGAATGAACCACATACACATATGGTCCAGTCTTTTTATTCAACAGATGAGAACCCTGAGGCCCAGGCAGGCAATCTGATTTGCCCAGGTTCACTTTCCTGATGAGCAAAATTGTCAAGAAAAGAACTTTTATCTTTTAATGGTCAGTCCAATAAACAGAGATTATTTTTCTACCTCCAAGTATCTGGCTTAAAAAATTTGGCCCTGTCTGAGTATTAACTTTCTTTCAGCCAACCCCAAGATACTTTTCAAAGGTAATTTTGAGAGGATGACATCAGAGAATAAAGTAGATAAAAGTGGAAGCTAAATCAGAACTCCTGACCCGTAGCCACCTCAGAGTCTACAGACCTTGCCTGCCATTTTCTTCCTAGCTCAAATCTATCAGTCCCCTAACCCTCAATAAAAATCTGGATCTTTAATCTACACTAAGGAATGGGTATTATTAATCTTTTCATGAAAAAGATTGGTATTCTAATGGGTCAAAGACAGGATAACATTTCCATGTGCCAGCCAAGTGGTAGAGAAGGATTTGGCTGAACCTGACGTGTTCCCTCTGCCCTGAAATAACAAGCTTTTGTCTGCTCGGCCTCCTTAGTCCGTGGTCTCACCAGATCTATTCACCATGAGAATATCAAAGGATAGGGCAGGGCAGGATTATGCCTTGACTTTACAGTTTTATCACTCTTATCATAATGCTGCTTTCTGGCTAAAAAAAATGCCTGTGCTTATTCTGAAAATTTGAATTGCCCCAGAAAAGATTTATATTTATGTGAAAAGGAATAAAGACCAGCCTTTTGTTCAGCACTAGCAAAGGGATCAGTTTTGGACAGATAACCCTTCTTCCCCCAGTCTTACCGCCATCCAGTTGATGAACTCGGCCACATCTTTTCCCACCAGCTTGGTGTACCCGGCAGACACTGGATAATGCTGCTGGGCCCGTGACAGCCAGTCCACCACAATGACATTGGAGTCAGGTTCCCTCTTGTACAGGGCAGCCACAAGTTTTGGCACCCAACTCTCATACATTCCTGTCACCTGAAGAGGATGATACAAGCTTTCCTAAAATACCCACCTGCAACTTGTTATCGATATGTCAGCCTAATACACCTACATTAAATGGAAAGAAAACAAACAAACCTGAAAGGAAACCCATTGGCTCAGAAAAAATCAAACCATGCAAAAGAATATTCAGAGACTTGTGCCTGCTTCTCCTGAGGAAAATTTGAGTATGCCAAAGAAGGAATGTGTTGAGCTGAGGAAGGGCAGATTAGGTTTACACCACCAATTTCTAAAAACTTGTTTTATAAATTTTGTAAAACCAATAATTTATATAAAAGATCAATCTGAATAAGTTAAAATTCTGCAGCAGAATTATATACTATTTCAAAATAAATTTCCTTACTTCTAATTAGGCTAATAAATTTTTCCCAACCATATTATTTTGGAGGATGTGAATGCACTTTTTTCTTCTTATACAGAGTCATTTATATGAAACATTTGAAGTGCTCATGAAAAAAAATAGTTTCAAACATACTAATCCTAACAGAAGGTAAATTCATTTAGCAATCTCTTTGTTAATATATAAGCAAATGATCAGTTTCAGCTTAGATTTTTTTATACTTCTCTCAAATTCTTAATTATCAGAGTGGAATTAATGAGGCTTAATAGTCACAATTACCAATTATTAGGTTGGCCCTGTTTGGAGATAAGGAGACTTCCAAATGTAAGTCTTTGCTTCTTATTTTAAAAAGGCTCCCAAATTCAAAGTCAAAAGAACTGTAAGAGTTCTCGGGTTAACTCTATGTAAAATTTTAATTTAAGTTTTCAGAGAGGACATTGGACACCTTTGCAAAGATGCATACTTTAAAATAATGGAAACACACTTAAAAACTACACACTGTAAAATTGTGCACCATCTTGCCATGAACTTGAACAGAACAGTAACCTGATTCAAATTCCCAAATCTCCCCACCCCTATCATGACCTGAGAGAAAATCATGTTGTAGCCACAGTAAAGGTTACTTAAATATGTACTCAATGAAGAAGGTTCTGAAATACATGTTTAAAGTAGCTTTTCAGGGGAGCCCTATAAAACCTATATTCTTCTTAGATTAATTCCGGCAACAAAAATAGGAGTCATGAATTCTCAAACCAAGGGACCTCATTTGGAACTTAGATCTTATATAGTGGATTCTTTCAGATTTATGCTTCCATTTTATTTAGTTTATTTTCTAGACTAAAACTATCAAAACATGAGATCTCATTTCACTCCTGACACTAACAACTGTACAATTTTTCATCTCATTGCTGTGCTCTGTGGTAAGAAAAAGCAAGCCTGAAACTCAGGAGATTTTGGTTTCAGTCCCAGCTCTTCCAATAATTACTTCTATGAATGTAGGCACTGTTTTAACCTTTTAGGCCACCTATAATACAAAGAATGTGGGTTCAGATGATCTTGAAGTTACCTGCCACCTCATAAATGTCTTCTTGTAACCATTCTGACTCCCAATCTATTTGCAGTAATTTAATACCAGCTCCAAAGCTATTGCCATTTCAAGTATGAAGAGAAAAAAAGAAAAGGTGTAAAGGTGATGTTAGTCCATCAGAAACTCATTTAAACCTTTTTTGAACCTGTGTCAGCAAGAGGCTGCTTTAAAAAGTCTAAGTGCAGGGGCGCCCGGGTGGCTCAGTTGGTTAAGCGACTGCCTTCGGCTCAGGTCATGATCCTGGAGTCCCGGGATTGAGTCCCGCATCGGGCTCCCTGCTCAGCAGGGAGTCTGCTTCTCCCTCTGACCCTCTTCCCTCTCGTGCTCTCTATCTCTCATTCTCTCTCTCAAATAAATAAATAAATAAATAAATAGTCTAAGTGCAGCCTGGGTCATTGAGGGAACAAGTCAGAACACCTACCTAGCCCAAAACCCCGATGAATTGGTCCTGTCTCCCCTTCTCCTCTCTTAGATGTTGGGGTTTGCCACACTTTGCAACTGCCTTTCAAGAGAGGATGATGTCAATTCTTCAGAATGCAATGTTACCCACTCCTTTTAGCCAGGCATGAGGACCTCCTACTACAATGAGAACTCTGTACTTAACACTTTGGTCTATGAAACCTAAGCAGGTGGCAAGGCTCCAGGACAGCTGTGTCTCAACTGCCTTCTGGAATGTGCTCTATGCATACTACACACTAAGCATTCTTTTGAATTTTCCATGGCAAAGCTGCAGAACTTCTACATTTCTCTTTGTCCTATGACCTTGAGTTGCTAAACAGTTTACCTCAGATAAGGCAAAAAATCTTGTTTGCTCTAAACCCCTATTACAAGTTTTTCTGCATTATCAGTGTTTCCAAGTTAGGCAATCTGTCAAAGAGTAAGTAACCCAACTTACTCCTACAGTGACTGATACTTTTATTCCAAAAGTAAAAACTATTCCAATCCTCTCTTTTTTAATTCAACTTAAAATACGGCTATAAGTAGCCCTAAACAATAAAGGGGTGGAAAATCCGAGTACTCACCTTCTTTAACTCTAAAAAGGTATTATTTACCGGGGTTTTTTTCTGAGGTTCCTAAAATCAGCACAAATTTTTAAAATCTTTGATTCTCAGACACACAGCTGAACTGAAGCCCTTCTGGCCACTCATTCCAGGTGGTCCAACTGAACCAGCCAGGCATTCCACTGAGATAAGCTGAGATCAGTTACCCAGTATGGCTGGATTAGTTACTGCATAGACCAACCAGCTCTTTTTTTTTTTTTTT